TATTAGTAGTATCAGCAATTGATGGCCTCGGTAGTATAGGACGCCTTTTTTTGATGATCGTGGGTCCGATTCCTCGAAAAAACATTAGTATTCATTAGTATTTTTGTTTTTACTAATACCCAGATTAGTACAATCTGGGTATTAGTACAAACAAAAATACTAATTCCTATGTACGAGTATAATATGCATATATTTACGAAATCAATGACTTAAGGATTTCTTTCTATCAGTTGTCTAGTAAGCATAACACTTGTTATTTATTTGATTTGGGAGTAGATATTGCTATATGAATTATACAAATTTATTAGATACTGTTATAGGTGCTGGTGCACCACACTTCATTAAATAGTGAGGAGCTTTCTTCTGTATACACTTTAGATTGTGGAATGAACTACCTGCCGAGGTTTTCTCTAGAGCCTACATTATGGGGTTTATCAAGAACGGTATATTTGGATTTCTTTAGAATCGACAACGCGCACCTAACACGCCTGGTGTTTTAGCCATCCATAGGCTACGGTAGCTGTTTATCATCAGATAGGCCGTATGCATCATTGCCACCAACATAGTAAAAAATAAACAATTGGAAGTTAGCTTGTATACCATTCCAGGGATATAAAAGTAATAGTAGTATCTGAAAGAGCAAATAAATGAAACAACGGTATATAGTTACCTATCAACCGCATGTCTAAACTTGTGCGATAAAGTGATTCATATCAAACACTTTAATACGTATTAGGAAGTTTTCCAATAACCACATACAACTGGGCCACGCCACACTGTGGGACGTGGTCAAAGAATATTACATTCTAATACGGGAGAAGGGGCAAGCAGGTATCGATTTGTATTTACCAGGACTATATATAGATATATATATTGTACTCCCCAGATATGTTACATACTCGCAGTTACTTAAGACTTTTTGTCCGCTATTAAATATCGTCCCATTTTTCACTCCTCTCGAGATTTTTTTAGGGTTAAAGTTATATGTCCAATTTAGTAGATCAGCCGGTTAGTCTATGTAAATGTAAAAACAAACTGGTAAATACACTTTTGTTACTATATGATGAGTAGGTATACATATATTTTACACTACGTAACCAGATACAACTATCTTCATATTTTTGTTTTTTTTTGTAATAAAATTACAGCTTTAATGTCTTTATGAGCGGTATAATTTATATGTATATATATATGTTTAAATAATACGAAGCATGAAAGCATGGAAAATATATAATATAAACAGCCATACTCCTGAATGGAATGTTGTATCAAGCGATCATTGTGTTCGTAATCTGCGCCTAAGAGAAGTAAGATGATTTGCTAAATTATTGTTGACCACCGTGACATTTGTATATAATTAAAAAAATATATATACTATTATATAAATATGATGTTAGACCTCACCCCACGGTATTTCTAAAACAGTATACATTCGAAACTTTGCCGCCAAGAATAAATTTAGATCGACAGAAAGTCAAGAAAAGGAGCACACGTTTTGAAATCGTTACTGTTACTTCGGAACTTTGTTCATATATGTATCTTACATACTGAAATTTACATAATGTCATATTTTATTTTATTTATTGCATGAACAGTAAATTTATTTAATAACAGTAACATGTTAAGTTTATGGCAAATATCTGTCTTTTAAACTATAATACACTATATTGGGTATACTGACATAAAAGCGTTGTTCTTAGGATAAATATTTTAATTTAAATTTCCATTTAGTTAAATCATCATTGTGCCCTTATTAGAAAAAACAATTGTATTGTTTTTTTTTGTTAATTTAAATGATATAGTAGTCGTCATTAGCAGTAGTTTGTCACTATCAGCCCTGTAAGTAATATTTATGGTGTAGAATATAAATTTGCAACTAATGAATTAAAAAGTATTGCAAACTAAAAATAGTAATTACTTAACAATAAAATACTATATGAACTATCTTTGTTTTTACATACAAAACACAAAGAAAAGTTCCTATTTATAAATATTATTGTAAATATTTTCCAATTTTATGAATGTATAGCTTCCTTTTTAATACATAATAGCGTCGCATAGGTTTTTTATTTTTATAATATAAAGTGCACTACTTTACCAACATTAGAAGTAAATACAAAAATATAACAATAGATTAAAGAAAGAAGTAGGTAGGTACACAAGGCGGTCTCATTGCTAACGCAATATCTTCCTGACAACCTTAGTATTACAAAAAAAAACTTCCTATTAATAATAACAGTATTATTAATATACGATCTCAAATCGTGGACCGACGATCTGGTTAAGATCGTTGGAAGGCATTGGATGCGAGCAGCGCAGGATCGATCGTCGTGGAGATCTTTGGGGTAGGCCTTTGTTTAGCAGTGGATGTCTTCCGGGCTGAGATGACGATCTCAAATGTCTCAGTCCCCGCTAATTTGCACTAGAGTCGTAATAATGATGTCTTATTTACATTATATCTGCAAACAATAAATGACTGATGATTGAGAATAACTGTGACGTGACAATTAAATAATAGTGTTTCCGTGTATTCTGGTCGAAGGTATCATCGTGCCGCCCCCGCGTTGACTCACTGGGTTCATAAGTGCGCATGCGTGATCTCATCCTACTATACATGGTACTGGTTGGTCTGCAGGTTCTAGATGTATGTTATACGTATGTATATGAAATATTAATTTAGAGACGTATATTTGACCATTATAGTAATTAATTGTTGGATTTTTATATAATACTGTTATATTATGAATCACCCAAAGTAGTAGTTTTAGATATCAATGATCTTAGAATCTAAAGTTACAATAAAAAATAATAAGACGTGTCAGATAAACGTACCTACTTCAATTGTGATGGAGACGGTGCTTGAAAATAAAAATGTAACGAATATTAGTAAAAGTAAACAATATAAATTAGAAAAAGAATCTCAGAAATTAGTTCACACGACGATGGTACTTATTGTACAATGTAATGCAAACGTATTAGCGTTTGTACCTTCTAAATTGGTATACATTGTAGGTAAAACAATATTTCACGTCTATTAAAATATAGGTAAATAATGGAAGAGATTATATACAAGAATAACAATATTAGATTCTTAATACATCAACTAATTAAAGTATTGTACATATTATATAAACGAGATATTTACTAAATCGTCTTGGTCACACTCGACCCAAGAACAACTTTTGTAATAGCGTTGAGATATCGGGAGTTCTTGAATAATATTATCATAGTAAATAACTCGTTTGTATAATGTGTACAATTTGTAAACAACCAAAAAAGTTTAAAATCATAAATTTTAATCATAAATCTATAAAATTTAAAATCAGAAATATTAATTAATATAGTTAAACAGGTAAACATTTTATGGTAAATAAAACTAGCCTTTGTCACGAGCTGACTGGAATCATCGCAAATTTTAATGTTGATAAGTGCTGCACTTTCTTCAACTACCGTCATTAGATTATCCGACGAGAAATACCTAGAGTACTGTATGTCTTAAAATAAGTTCAACTACATTAATAATGTGTATTAAAGGCAAAGTTTAAAAATAAGCATTTTTTTATATTATATAATTTTGCACTTACAGGTAGAACTATGTACATAGGTGCATATTCCAAAACAAGCAGTACCGAAGGACATAACTATATTATTTATAGGGAATATTACATTATTAATAGGATGTTGTATTTGTAAAATTATTTTAGTTAAAGTCGCATGCCACGTCTAGTCCGACGTTGTCCACTGCGAGACTACATGAAAGTATGGGCCCGTGGGTGGTATAGGGGTAATATTCTAATAGATTATTCATTCATCATCGCGTCCTACAGAAAAAGGGATGCCTCTATGAGCCCTTAGGGAAATATGAAGAGATTTACAGCTTTCACACGGTGGAGATATGACCTATCACATCAGGCGCAGAGTGAAATAACGTCACCAACTTTTTTATTATTATAGGCCAACGTCATTTTATTTATTAAAAGTTTTTTAATACGGCCCGTATGCAGACCAGTTTTATTAGGGTTCTGAAGTAAACAGGTAAAACGGACCCGTTGACTGTTGATGTGACTTTGTACGCCCCTCTATTATATAACCCTATATTTGAGAAAGTACCTACGTGAAATATATTCAAATACGCGAGATATATTTGAAATTTGTAATGATATTTAGTAATAATAAAAAAATAACAAAAAAAAAGACTTATATTTCTGGGAATACTGTTTTAAAATCACAAAAAAACCTGAAGAAACAAATATTATTATGCGGGTAAGATTTGACAGCCATATGGTCATAACCACGAAAATATTTGTCGTATTAACGTCAAGTGTCTATTCATTATAAGTACATCGCGTCTCAGATTTATAATATTCTGCATATTTTGTTCGGAACCTCCTATTTGCAAGTACTACTCGTAATTTGCAGGTTTCTTTTTATTCTGAATTAGAATGTTACGCTCCGAGCAACTGTGTCATGGATATGACTGGTTTGTTTATTAATTCATTTTGTCTGTTAGATATTTTTGTTTTGTAGATTTTTGCTACACAGCGTTTCAAAATCAACAAAAATTATTAGCATCAAATTTCAATACACTTAAAACAACATAATAATATTTGGCCGGAATAACATTGACTTTATTCAAATATCGGCAAGATGGTTTAAATTTGGACTAATAAGAATTGTAATAAGGTATAAATTTCCTTACGCGCCTATTTTATTGAAAGTACAATGCCGAGAGAAAATACAGAACGTAAATAAGAAAACTAGAACTCAACAGCAATAAGGCTCTCAACGTTCGATATGCAACTCGCTGTGTATCGATTTTATTAGGCACACGTCTCATATTATTTACAGACAAGTAGCTGATCCCGAGCAACGGTATACACCTCCAGCACTACAGTGTATTTGCCAAAAGCGTATTCATATTAGATTTCCGAGCACCCAATGCCAGCGTATCGGTTCTGTCACCGATATGCTCCGATACTTTATACGAGTTGCTAGTAGCCTAGTAGTACGCTCGCCGCGACACGCGCCCGGAAGACTGTCAAATAAATACGAGCTGAAATATATCTGCTGTCGCGTTCTGTGATCCTGGTATATACGTGCTGTTGCAAGGATGAATTTTTGTTTGTTTTTTGTGTTGTTTGGTTATTTTTTCGCATGGAGCGCGGGCATGTTGTACCGGCGAGACTCGGATAATGTACTCAAACCCGGTGAGATTTCAATTTGTTTTATTAATTAAGTCTTCTGCTGTTAAGGTTCTTTTGTGCAAACAAAGGAAATGTTAAGTACGATTAGTATTCTATAGATAAAATGAATAAAGATAATATAGATTAAAAACCTAAAATAAAATGTAACGTGTTCTTATTTACTTCCTACATGTCAACCTTGGGTAAAAGGAACATTGAATAACATAATACGTTAATAAGTTTTATTAATTTTTCATTGACTTAGTTATATAAGTATCATTATAATATTAGTTTATATATTTTTTCTTCTATTTCAATCGTGCGTCATCTACAACTCTATTTTTCCTCCTCTATTCAAAGGTAATCTGCAAGAGAGTGCTAAACCGAAAAGACTGCTTTTTGTACCTTATTACGATGTAAATTATGTTATTTGTATAAGTCTGGTGCAAAGGACTAAATAAATAAAACATGTGCATACTGATTGTATTATATTTCGCAATATATTATGTTCCAATAATAAAATATACTTTATACTCACTGCTATACTCAATTCATATCGAATGCATATTATGAAATTAATAAAGGAGTATACATAAAATGAGTGAGAAATCCATACAGTTGTGACAAAGATATAGCGTAAGATACACACAGAAAAAAAAACATGATTTTACGAACCTTTGTCGTTTGACAGATTCAAACGGCGCGCATATCGCTGAAACAAATTTCCGGGCAACGTTAATTAATTAAAAGCATTATATTTATTATGAAAATATTTCAATAATCCTTCCCAAATATTATCTTAAATACTAGTGACCTGCCATGATCTCGTCTGAGTGAATTTATTGTGGAGATTTCTAGTTTTTTAGTATCTGCAATAAATTAATGTGTGCTAGATCAGGGTGGTAAATATAGTATGGTTCGTGTTATTTGCTGATAAAGTATATTTCGATAGGTGAAGAACTTTCAAAAATGGTCCTATTATTAAGTTCATTTCTTACATAAAAACAATAATTCCTCAATCAAAAATATTTGTCACTTAAGAATGACATTGCAAAAAATTGTGCGTGAAGATATAAGGATGCAATTCGCAGACTGTGCCTCAGAATGGAACCTTGACGTTTAAGCCATTCAAGCAAAATATGCACTTTCAAATATATAACTTATGGTACATCTATATATGTATTAATATATAGAGTCAAGTATAAAACTATTACTTACTTACTTAGGAAATTATTCCATTCTATATCTTTTTATTGGTGAAGTCTGTTCTTAAATTGAGAATAGATTTATATTGTTTGTCTTTAATATTATTTCGCTATAGTCTTCATTAGGTGTAAAATTATGGTCGATTTTCGACCACTGGGCGATCACTAATAATAATCAGTTCACGTCTTGATCATAGCATAAAAAAGTAATAAAATAAATATTCCAATAGTCAATTGTTATTGGATAATATTTTGGTCATGCAATGGGTAATAATTGGTTTTCGTTTTATTAGATATTGTCGATGTGAATACGAATTAATGATATATAAAGTAATATTGTGAACATATTTTGTAACAATATTTATTATTCTCTAATGTTATTTGCTCAAGTGACCATTGGCTTTATAGCTCCGATTGAATATTTATTGTTATCCAATAAATTATCAAATATATTACATCATAATCAGATTAATTTATCCATTCAAGAGACTATAGTTTATTTACCTTTATTATTAATATAAAGTATATGGAATACCTCTCATAACTTGGAAATAATGTAGTGAGGTTAAATATTTAACCAATATTTAACCTCACTACATTATTTTTGTATTTATGAGTTCAAAATATATGTATATGGCAATAAATTCATACATAGCTAAATATTATAATGTATAATCCAATACGATAATTTTTATGCGTATTTACTATAAGATAGCACCGCACTATACTTATAGTAATTACGCATAAAAGTAATATAAAAATTTAAAAAATGTTCTTAGGTGATTATTATTAATTGAAGAAAGAAGTTTGACATCTTAAAGTTTCTGAGAGACTTTTAAATTAAAAAAAAAGAAACAAAATAATTCGATATAGTTTGTGAAACTTTGACATCATCATTATAGGTAATACTCAATTGCATTTATAAGTAAAGCTTATTTGATCTGCAGCGGATCTTGTCGGACCCAGTAAAAAAAAGTTAAAGAAGTGTAGTGAGTGAAACTAGAAAGACGACTTTCGTTCATTGGTAAACATGTAATATGCACAATTCGTTTTAATCGTTTTATTCGAATCCGTTCCGGATATTCGATGCATAATTACTATAATGTACTTATTTTCAAGTGTGGTGTTTACGTCATACTACTTTCATCTGTAACATCTTACGTGCTACCTAACTATAGCAAAAATTTTAATGTTTATAAATTTAAATTGTTCTTCTGTTACTTTAATGATAATAAATTGAGATGCGTAACACACTTTCTGCAAGTAACAATAGTAATTAAGAATTTAAATTTTGTGTTTCATGTATTTTTTAAAATAAATTATATTTTGATTCTATGTTTCCTTATTACATTATTTTTGGTATTTCTTTACTTATGAATAATTTATAATAGTGTTCCAAGATTTCATATGGTCTGCTCATTCAAGATTAGTTAAAATATATTTTTCGAATTTACTCTTTATAAGCAGCTAATATAAAAATAATATTCTCAGAAAAGTGATACTGTGAGTTGTGACGCATAGCCATCAGCCCTATTTGGCGCCGCTTTTTTATTAAATTTAAATTCAGAATAGTAAAATACTGGAGTGTATATACTTGATGGGGCGTGCGATTGTGCAGTAAGTGGTCTCGCCGGTCGATCTAGCCTTGTGCTGGCGGCGGGCCACGGTCAAGAGTTTATAAGGAGTGGTTCTTATATAACCAATTAACAATTTTATGTCGAGCGATAGTTGTTCTCAGGTCAGGTGTTATTGTAGAAAAATAATTGTCATATTTCACGCATAATGCAAAACTGCTTTAACTAAAAATTATGAATTTTGGAAAATGGACTTTAAACTTAAAACATTTTCCAAAATTCATAATTTTTATTTAATTTTTGTAAATTGTAAAATTCTACTTTATTACAATTTAATTACATTATTTTACCAATAGATTTGTGTTTTGTTTTTCTATAAAACTGGCACAAATATAGCCAACTGATGTTAAGTAGTACCCGTATGTAGCACCCGATATGATGTTAATATAATTATGAATATGACGCCCATGATACCTCTCAGGCATTGTCATGAATGACAAGGTCATACTTCCGTGTCGTCCGTCCGTGACCTGCAATGTCACTTACCTACATGTTTTTTACAATAATGTTACGAGTAAAGTTGAATGTCTTTTATTGTTCCAGACCTTTTGCCTGTATCGTCAACTGTGATGCCGCTACCATATTACTCCATATATGGATACGAGAAGAAAATGCTTCGAGGAAAAGATAAAAAACGACCACAAGGAAAAATCTCGCTAGTCACGAAAGAGCCTAAATAAAAAGTTTTATTTTATTTGTTAATTAAGCATCTGTATTAAAAAGAATAAAGTTCAAAATATTGTTAATCTGTTTTACACTTTTGTTGACGACTTTACTTTTATTAAAACCATTATAAACTGAGGGCTTAGTTCGCATTAGTGCTAATTATATATATATATATATATATATATATATATATATATTAATACATAAATATTTTCGACCCTAATATTTTACTTTAATCATTATTTATTACAGTGTTGTCACATATCACGATACAAGTATTGCCCATTTCTGCGAAATTTTGGAAAACTTTTTAGTAGTGAATAAAAATAAATTATTTAGTTCTAGTTAATTTAGATTGTGTATTTATAGTTTCATTAATCAGTATCTCTATGTTATATGAGATATATCTCTTTATGGATTAAAACATAGCTTTCTGAATTTAAAGGAAATCTTTGTCAATTATACCATAGATAAGATAATATTACATATTATACTGATATAACTAATTATACAATTCTTGATATTGCAGTTTCTAATCCCTTTAACCAATGTAGTCACTTAAACAAAATTACCTGAAAGTGGCATTATTTTATTGTCTACGAATTCACTTACTGCTTTGTATACAGGTCTGAAGGGAAAATCGACAAATTCTAAACTAAATCACTAAGTCTAGTTTACAAATATACCCAAAATGATTACAGATATTTTTATAATTTCATATTTCTTTTATCTGTTCTGTTGTTCTTTTGTTGTGCTGTCATGTATACAAAAAACAATTTTAATTATTTAACTATTCTAAAATATATTGCTAAAAATCTCATTGAAGCAACGTACCTACTGCTATGTATAATGTACTATATATAGCAATACTAGGGGTGGCATCTAGTCTGCAAAGAGAACAAGTCTCGAGTGCAACGGGGAAATGCTATCAGCTTATTGGGCACTTTGCCTCAATGTGGTTCGCTGGATGAAATATTCTATTTGTAAAAAGTGGGAAAGATATTCAACATAAGAAAAACAAATTTAATCACTAACTAGAGTAGTGAGTGGAAACTGGAAACTGATATAATTCATGTAATAAAAAGAGTAGATTAAAGTCTTTTTAATTCTACGGTTCATTCTCTATGCACATACAGCCAATAAACGTAATAAGTAAATAAATATTGTAAAACTGTATATTCATAAGATTTCTGAGACAAATTACGATATTGCTCAATTTATAAGGGTCAAAATTGTACTGGATTCTGTATCACCACATCACTTGTGATGTGGTGATACAGAATCCATCCAAATCCAATCCATAGCATCTCGATGCTTGCATCGAGATGCTATCTACAAAATAATTACGTACATATAAAAAACAAATCAGCCAATTGGACTTAATAAATACAATTTTTTCTTCATATTTATGTGTACAAATTGTATTTATTGTATGACAATCGAACCAATCGATATGTGAAGCAGCATCCAAAACGCTCGACAGCTGCGTTTTTCGATATTTTTGGTCATGTCTCGTTGTCGTTAAGCGTTAAGCGGTCGTACTTTCTGGGTCACGAGACGACCTCTGTTCCATTTCATTGCTGCAGATTGATATCGCTGTACAAATACAGAATACGTGATCAAAACACCGCGCAGGTGACGTCATTAGCCTAAGCTGGTTATCCAATTTTGTGTCAAACCGCTCGCGCAGCAAGTAACATAGTCGGTTGATTTTAATTAAAACTAGCAACGTTTCAAATTCTGCTGTTGTTATATTATCATATGCTCGAAATTCACATGCAATTTTGCATTTTAGTCGTTTATAGTGCTGGATGCTCGGTACTTTATCTGTGGGACATTTATAATGACGTCACACTCCTCAAAGTCTTTACGTTAACTTAGTGTCATGACCTGGTACTTAATTGCATCTATTTATAACTTAGAAAGGTTACGAGTTCAAATCTATGTTACACAAAACAAAGTACTTTTTTAATATAAAATGCGTTTATATCTATGACTAACGTCTACTGGCGACGTCATCCATTTGGCTGTGATTGATTGAAACACATAGTCTATATTCCAAACTCTACTTATTTGCCAAAGGTTCCATAAATAAATTGCCGTTTTTTATGAGAAAATGAATATTAAAATTTTACACCGAGTAGTTAGTTTTTCTAATATATGCATTTCAAACTAAACTGCTTATAATGCATGGTGCATTGTAGTTGATATAGGTGAGGTAGACGCAGGCCACTTTGTACAATGGCTGTCTTGTAAGTAGTGTAGTCGTTATTATATATAGACATATGAAAAGCCCAGTTGATTTGACCTAATGCATCGCATGAACTAACAGGAAAAGCAATATGTATTGGTATAATGTTATTGCGGGGAGTCTAGCCGGCACGACAAAAATAGGTTTTGCTTTGGGCTATTTGGTGCGGAACTCTAAAATAGCAATTGTAAAAGTAATGCAACTATTAAATTTGAGAACGATTTCAAAAGTGTATTATTTCAAAATGTATATTATATAAACAAGTATTTACTATGATAATATTATATAAGAGATCTCGGTATTTCAGTACATGAAACAAGGACATGGACGTTTCTAGTTTGTGTTTTTGGGCATACTAAAAGTGACCATGCTTACATCAACATATGGAGACAAATGCTAATTTCTCATTGACATCAGATTTTTGTTTTAGATTTAAACTTGACTGTACCTTAACTGTAGTTTTCGTATGCGTCATTGTAACGTGATATCGTGATTTTAATTCAAATACAATATTGGACGATTTGGAATATAAGTCTAAATTAAATAATATCATTATTATCTGTAATTGATCGTCTGGGTATTGTAATATTAGGTCTAGTCTGTCTGACAGTCATGCTATGATGAGGTATCCGATTCCTCAAAATTTGATATATGAAACAAAAATTAAAATGGTCTAGAAGATAAAATTAATGAACATATTTGAAATATAATATTTCAGAGAGAATTTGAAGTAATAGATATTATGATAATATAGGAATTATGGGATGGTTGATGATGATGGCTGTTTATCTATTCATAAAATTTCAATACAATGTCTATTAATTTTTATATCTACTTACTAAAATTTCATATCAGATTAGTATAGTACTAGTCAACAAATTCTAATACAAATTTATTCAATATCTATTCAATATCACAACCATACATACGTCGACACTATACATAGTGTTAACAAATTCATTTGCTTTAAAGACTGTGTTTTCCTATGTATATTTAGTGTATGCACTGTAGAAGTATCTACGAGTAAGTATTTAATGGAAGCGAAGTGAAATCCGTTCTCACTAACATGCATTGCAAATGTTTATGCACACATATGCCGCAAATCCGCAATACCTTTGGTTCTGAGTAGTGTATATTTTTTATTCTTGACGACCTCTGTGGTCTAGCGGTTTAGCATACTGCTTTACTTTCGATGATCGTGGATTCGATTTCACAAACATTTGTATTCATGAGTATAATTATTTATATCGGTCTGAGTGTTTACTATGTATAATATGTATATATTTACGCAAAAAAATATTGTATTTGTATCAGTTATCTAGTACCCATAATAGCTTACTAACTAAATTAGCTAACTTAGGTCTAGATGGCGCTGTATAAATTGTCCTCAAATTATTATTACTATTAATATTCAACTGTCGGTCCAACTGCAGTTAAATGGCAACCATCACTTATACAAGCATCACTTCATCATGTGATGTTTGTGGTATTTCTAATGCATTGTCATTCGGGAGGACTAAGATTTCCTGCCTATATAGGTGTACCTTAGGCCCTGTTGGACCCTGTAATTTCACTGCTACATCTCTGAAACACAGCTTACTAAACAAGCTGCTTGGCGGTACAATCAGGTGAAACTGAGATACCCACGCATTAATTACTATACTAAGTCTATTTTGGTGTTGTTTATTATCCAGATTAATGAAGTTATTTTAGCCACGCAGGCTAAGTCTTTGGTACAAGTTAGTATTACATAAATTTACTAAGGTATTTTCATTCTACTTGTATTAATACGGCTGGCAATAGCAGTGAATGTCTATATTGTATAGTAAAATAAATAGATAACTTTTTAATCAATCATATATCAATCCTTTGCTATATATGACACAACAATAGAAAAACAATACCACTAAAAACGAAAATATATATTGTCAAAAATTGTAAAAAAAACATGGTTTAAAATAAGAAAGACCTATAAAAGGAGGTCTGTCGCTAACATATATATTGCAGCAATATTTGTCTAATTATCTTGTTTAAAACATAAATTAACACACACACACACACACACACACACACACACACACATAAATGAATACATTTTGATTCATATCAAAATGTATTCTCATGAAACAAAGCTTTAACTAAAATTTTGGAAGGTGATTATACTATTTGTAATTTTTAAAATTATTGGAATACATTTCCGCGAAATTTTATAGACGTATTGTATTATGCAAATTCGTGTTCACCGTTATTTGATATTGCTTCTCAATTTTATTGTTAATAATACTGATTGCAACTGATACACTCGAGAAGTTAATTACAAATTAACAAATTTATTACTAATTTAACAACAACCTAATTTTTTACTTGCTAGCTAAAGCTGTGATAAAATAATATTTTTAAAGAAATATTACCGTAAAGAAATTGGATCGTAGTCGATTCCTAAATAACTGTTTTACTTTCGACAACATATTTTCAGTTGTTTTTAGTTAATGGAATAAAATCGTTATTTTTTTTCAATTCGTAGGAGTTTGTTTCTTCTTTAGTATTTATTAATTTAAGGTATTTTTAAGACAAAATACTTTTAAAAATGAAAGCATTAAATTTCATTCACAGTCTCTCTTAGATGTGTTTTGATGACGTTACAAATAATAGTAAACAATGATAAATAACATATAAATACAGAGATAAACAAAAAGAATATAATGCAGAGTAATTTATAAAGAATTTAGTTATATTTTATATAATTAAAATAAAAAAAAGATATGTTGTAGTATCCTTAGTTCAATGTTACTAATTACTACAGGCTCAGAAAAACGGAATAAGTTGTTTTAAAATTTATTTTTAACCT